TGGTCTTTGAAAAAATTTACAAGTGCTTATTTATTCCAAATTGCACGAGAAAAATCATGTGATTACGTATTAATAATATACATGAAAAAATTATCATAATTATGCAGAAGAAAAGCGCGCGCGTCACGTGCAAAAATAATTTATTCAAACCCTGCAAGTGACATTGTGTGTACGGTCAAAACAACCGCGTACGATCAAAACAACAGATAAAATATGAAATTTTCACATCTTTAAGGCGCAAAAACGTTCAAAGTCCGGCCAAACAGTTCAAGGAATTGTTCAGTCTGTGTCCGAATCACTTCCGATGAAATGGAATCGTCGTTTGCGAGGTTTATCAGGCGAGGCCTTGTTGTTGAGGTTGAATGTCACAGTGCAGTTAGTGAAGGAATTCATCAGATTCTGCTCGTGAGAGCTCATCATGTGTGAAATTACTGCATTTGAAGCGGAAGGACCAGATGAACTACCCGCCACCGACGCGGATTTTGGTGTACTATTTCCCTTTGAGATGGCCCACGAAAGCTGTCGCTGTTCGTCTTCGTCAGCTTCATCGTAGTCATCTAAAGACTGGATATTTCTGTGGCCAGTGACTTTTTCTCGAGATCTCCTTTCTTCATCTTGCTAACGAGCGTTTTTCGGGCACTGTGATTGGTAAACCGCTTCTCGGATGACTGAAGGCTGGTTTGGGAGATGATATTTTTCATCATGGAGTTGATTTTATTTTCTCCCATGGGCTGGACTTTGTACCAAGTTTCATCGCCAGGTCCGCTGTTGTATTTTATCGAGAGATAAAACGGGTACTGACGGAACAACGCAACTGGACATCTCTCTCCGCTGGTCTGAAACATTTTGGGCTGAAACTGTCTTGGCTTTGCGTTCAAACCTCCGGGTCTGGTTTTTGTTGGCCCTTCAGCAAACTCAACAAATTCAAGGCCGTCATCTCCTTTCATGATTCTGAAATCCTCCAGTCTCATTCCATGGTGTTCCTGCCTTCCACGGAGACCAAATTGTTGAGTAAGTAGCCACCACATTGTATGAATTAAGGACTCTGGGGTTTTACCACCGAGTTTTTCGCTCTTCCAGAGAATTTCTTCTTCCTCTACGGTTAGTTGTCAAGCTTTGTTTGGGCGCTTGCCGCGGCCAGCTAAGCGAAGCTGTTTCGCTTTCCCGTCCAGTACTTGTTTGGAGGAACAGAATTCTCTGTCACGAATAATGGACAGTTTATAGCCTTTGATCTTCAAGTGTCTATCAAGCGATGTAATCACTACTTTCAGACTTTCCGGTTCATAATCTTCCCCATGTTTGTTTTTAATTTCGGCGTAGAATCGCTCGAGGAAACTGTTAAGCTGCGTCGGCTCGTAGTTTTCGATTTCTGCGGCAATTCCTTTCTCCAAACACCACTTCTTCCAAACCGACAACCAAAAAGCAGTGCTTTTTACCGTGTTTTCGTTTGTAGAGCTGTTTTTCAGCTGCTGTATTGTTGTTGCGGTGACGGAAGAAAACCTACTTAAAACACCCGCCATTGTTTCGCTCGCAAATTTTCAGCGTATCCAAATGTTGCGACGTCCAAGGCTCGCATTTGATTGGCTCTCTAAGAGTTTCATTGATTACCGACCAATCAGAATGTCTGGTTTGTTTCTTTCTTTGCACTGAATTAACCCTCTTCTGCACTGAATTAACTCTCTTCTGCACTGAATTAACTGAAAACTGCATTCATCTTAACCAATCAGAACTGAGAAATTTTTTCATGTATATTATTAAAAATAATATAAGTATCAATTTGATGAGGATCTAGCTCCATGGACAGCAAAGTGCTTTTCTGATGGTTTGCTTTACTGCCTGTCTTACTTCACCAATCTTCCAGCAGTAAAGAAAACGGGTTTAACGTCGAGTTAAAGTAAACTAAGACAGCTGCTACTTCCCTTAATACTACTAAGTGTGATGAATATGTTTTACTGTCAGCGATTACAATTGTTACTATGAAGGATGGTGCATAACAAACTACTAACGCTAACTGCACCCACAGTGCACTGTTCACTGCCTTTTTGTACCGCGCCATGTTCGGTGCATTTGGTTGGCCCGGCTGTTGTTGGAGATGATCTTGTACTTGAGCCTGATGATGACTCAGAACCCGAAAAATTTTCGTATACGAGGCGACTGAAATAACAAGGCAAGATGGTGTAATTATACTATCATATAAAATGAGTATACGGTAATCTAATATGTAGCGTAAAGCAGCAACACTAGATAAAATCCAAAAGGTAGCTACAGTGATGTATGTGCGCTTCAAAGTTACAATTTGTCTGTATCTTAACCCCAACAACAGGGCGAGAAGTCTGTCCACGCTTATGGCCGTCATCGTCAGCAATGACACTCCACATAATGCAATGTCTGTAAGGAAAGCGGCGACAAATACGTATCGACAAAGATTCCATTGCTCGTCAGCCACGGACATCCAATAAGTAGCACTGAGAGGCTGGCAAACAAGACCAACCAACAGATCAGTTGTTGCCAAACAGCGATACAAGAGTTTGGACGGAGGATGCAGGGAAGATTCTATGTGAAGGGCAACGAGGATAAGAGAATTGCCAAGAAATGCTGTGATGGAGAGGAGAATGTAGATTGGTAGAAAAGAAATTTTAAATTTTTGCGGAAGCCCACCAACCAGAGGGGGGGAACAGTACAGATCTTGAAATATCTTGGTCTGTGTTCCACCTCCAGTGAAATTTGTTGTCGACATTAT